AAGCTCTTGATTCGCGGGTGAAGTCATGGATGTACTCAACGTGTGATCCCAATCTATTTCAAATAATTTCAAGTGACAATTGTACGGCTAAAGACATGTGGGAAAAAATTGCAGATTTTTTTTTTTAAATAATAAGATGTCGCATATGCTTCAACTTCAAGATCAAATTCGAAACACCAAGAAAGGCGCTTCCACCATCACCGAGTTTTGCCATACATTGAAAAATCTTGCGGATGCTCTTGCCGAAGTGGAATCCCCCATTACCGAAATCGAGCTTGTAATGCAAATCTTAAGGCAACTTCCCGCATCCTACCACAGTATTTTTGATGTAATTACAAATACCAAGCCATTTCCTACCTTTTTAGAAGCCAAAAACATGCTCTTACTCCATGAGACACGAGAAGAAAATACGGATGCTATGCTTGACTCTTCCAACTCCGTCACTTCGGCTCTATATTCGGTGTCTTCTCAATCCAGAAAATCAAAAAATAAATGGAATAAAAACCGTAATACTAATCGGGGTACTTCTAAAGGGGGGAGTCATTCTAGTATGTCAAGTGGTACTAACAATTTTGCAGGTGCTCAAGTGAGGCAACAAACTCAATTTGCTGGTATCTTGGAGACAAATCCTAGCAATACAAATTTTTTTCATGCTCAGCAACAATTTCCAGCATCACTCGGCAGCCAACAACTTCCAGGAATGACCCAGTTGCAGCCCCATTACTCTTTCAGTCCACCCACTGCTGGCCCAACTTCGATGCAGCCCGGTTTCTTTTCTCCTGCCACGTGTCTCTTCACATTAATAAAAACTTAATTTCTGTTCGTAAATTCAGTACTGATAATTTTGTCTCACTCACATTTGATCCGTTTGGCTTTTCTATAAAGGATCTTAATTCAGGTGCTCTTATTCAATGATGTGATAGTGTTGGCGATCTATATCCGACTCTTCCATTTAATGATTCCTCCATCGTCGTGAAAGCTCTTACAACCGTCTCTCTCCCCACTTGGCATCGTCGTTTAGGACATCCTGACACTTTTATTCTTAATTTTTTACAGTCTCGTAATTTTATTTCTAGTACAACTACTAAAATTCCAATTTGTCATGTTTGCCAAATTGGAAAACATTGTCGCTTATCTTTTTCTACTTCTACGTCTAAAACTTCTAGTGTTTTTGAACTTGTTCATTCCGACTTATGGACATGACCTGTTACTAGTTTAAGTGGATTCAAGTATTATATATTATTTCTTGATGATTTTTCTCATTTTTTGTGGGTGTTTCCTTTACGTGCAAAATCTGAAGTGTATTCTGTCTTTTGTAATTTTCGAATGTATGTTAAAAATCAATTCAAAACTGATATTAAATCGTTTCAATGTGACAACAGACGTGAGTTTAATAGCCATGCTCTCCTTTCCTATCTTATAACTCATGGTATAACCATTCGTTTCTCATGTACTTATACATCTCAACAACATGGAAAAGCGGAGCGCTCCATTCGCACGATTAATAATATCATTCGCACTTCTCTTTTTCAAGCTTCTCTCTCCATAAAATTTTGGACTGAAGCTCTTCTCACTGCAGTTCACACTCTAAATCTCCTTCCTACCACCACTCTATCTTTCAAAACACCTTTTGAAGTTTTGTTTGGTTTCTTTCCCCCATATGACCATCTTCGTGTCTTTGGGTGTCTTTTCTACCCTAATACATCTTCTACTGCTCCTCACAAGCTCTCTCCCCGTTTTACTGCATGTGTGTATCTCGGACCCTCTCCAGATCACAAAGGATACCGTTGTCTTGACCCCATCACCCAACGTGTCATTATCTCTTGACATGTCATATTCGATGAAAATCACTTTCCTTACTCTGATTTTCATCCCTCCCCGTCTTCGTCCGAATATAATTCCTTTCTCTCTGAAGACGGAGTTACTCCTATGATCATACCTCCTACCACCACTACCACTACTTCTGATCTTTCTCCATCCGGATCCTCTTCCACTAACATGCATGAATCTATCCATTCTCAACCAACTCCACCTTTCTATGGTGCTTCGGCTTCCAACCCTCCATCCAGTTCTAATACTCACCCAATGACCACCCATTCTCAAACTAGTTCTCTCAGACCTCGCCGCATTCTCAATCTATCTGTCATGACTGATGTCTCTCCTATACCTCGATCCACTGCTCAAGCCATGTGTGATGTTAACTGGAAGTCTTCCATGGACAACAAAATGTCTGCCCTTAACCATAATCACATGTGGGATCTTGTTCCAAAACCACCTAATGGCAACATCGTTGGTTGCCGTTGGCTATATCGTCACAAGTTTGATTCTTCTGGCAAACTTGATCGTTACAAAAGTCGTTTAGTTGCGCAAGGTTTCTCCCAACAACCTGGTCTTGACTTTGATGACACCTTTAGTCCAGTTGTAAAACCTGCAACTATTCGCATTGTTCTTAGCATTTCCATCTCGCGCAACTAGCCCATTCATCAACTTGACGTCAAAAATGCTTTTTTACATGGTGATCTAACTGAAGAGGTTTACATGAAACAACCTCCCGGTTATGTGCACCCCAATCATCCGGATTATGTGTGGCGCCTCCGCAAAGCCCTCTACGGTCTCAAACAGGCACCTCGTGCCTGGTACCAACGCTTTGCCTCTTTCATCTCCACCATCGGTTTCCGAAGCAGTCGCTCTGATAACTCTCTCTTCACCTTTCATCAAGGTTCTTACACTATCTATCTTCTTTTATACGTTGATGACATCGTTCTCACTGCCTCCAGCACGTCTCTGATCACGCAAGTGATCTCTCGTCTCTCAACTGAGTTTGCTATGACAGACTTAGGTTCCTTGTCTTTTTTTCTTGGTATTAGTGCTACTCGTTCTGCTCAGGGTTTGTTTCTTTCACAAACTTTGTTTGCCAAGGAGATCCTTTATCGTGCTGACATGACCTCCTGCAATCCTTGTAGCACTCCGACGGACACCAAACCAAAGCTTTCTTCCTTTGGTAATCCGCTTTCTGATCCTACCTTGTATCGTAGCTTAGCAGGGGCTCTTCAATATATGACATTTACTCGTCCCGATATTGCCTACGCTATTCAGCAGATATGCCTTTTTATGCATGATCCTCGTGAACCTCACATGCTTGCTCTTAAACGCATTATGCGTTATCTACACGGTACCATTGATCACGGTCTCTTTATTCGTCCGTCCCATATTGATCGTTTGGTGTCTTATACTGATGCTGACTGGGATGGCTGTCCTACGACTCGTCGGTCCACATCTGGATTTTGTGTTTACCTTGGTGATAATCTTGTGTCATGGTCTTCAAAACGTCAACACGTCGTTTCTCGGTCTAGTGTCGAAGCTGAGTACATGGGCGTAGCTAATGTTGTTGCTGAAGCTGCCTGGCTGCATAATCTGCTTCTTGAACTATCATGCTCTCTTTCTCATACGACTGTTCTTTTTTGTGACAATGTGAGTGCTATGTACTTAGCATCAAACCTAGTTCAGCACCAAAGAACCAAACATGTGGAAATAGATTTACATTTTGTCACTAATCAACAGACGGGAAAATTTAAAAGGTAGTCCGGACTACCCCAGACTACATAGTAGCTCCGCCCTCAGGGTGGGGGCGGAGGGAGGGGGGGGGGGGGTTGAGTGCCCCCAATGGTTGGAAATTTTTACATAAGGCTATTTTAAAATTTGATTCGATTTTTTTTTAATAATACGTAAGGCCTCCAACCAAATTTTCATTTAGGCTATTATATTTGGAGTGTTGAAGGCATAAGCAAAAGATGCAAAAGTAGTTAAATATGTCAAGCTCGGTATAAAACAAATGACTTTTATTCTAATTTAATTTGCGAATTATTATTAGTATTAATATTAGTTAATTATTTCACATTATTTGTAAAAATGAAAAGCCTACGAAGAATGTTACATAGCTTTGCCAAAATTATAAAATTAAAGATTAAAAGCTATGTTTTGATGATATTTTGGATAATATTAATGTATTCAATCATTTAAGAATTATCTATATAAATACTTCCGTGATATAAATATTTATGTTTTCACACAGTTAGTTTTAGAGTATATTGTTTTTGTGTGTTTATCTTGGTCATTGGAGAAATTTTACATTGCGTTAGATATGATATACTGTGATCATATAATATTTATAAAATACATGTTATTTGTAAAAGTAAATTATTATGACCCGACCTGATTATTTTAATCATTTTGACCGAATCGATTATATAGTCGTTGGTTACTGCCCCAAACAGAAAAAATGCTGCATCACTGTTCAAAATAGAATGAATCTCACGAGTAAACAAATAATAAAGTATGTATGGAGATTGGCCGATATTTCTTATTCGGGAAAAATAAATGGAGGTTGACGAATATTTTTGGATAGGATTGTTACCCAATCGTTCTTTTGGACGAATTATAGGAGTAGAAGAGTTTCCTTGAATTGGATTGGATGGTTACAAGATCCTAGTACTTAATCTTTTTTTTTTTTTTTTTTTTTTTTTTAATTTTGTATTTTTTTTTTGTTTCTGCTAGCTTCTTGCTGGTTTGTTGTTTTAATAATATTTTTGCCGAAAAAAAATAAAAATAAAGTTTATATGGAATTTTGTTCGAAAATAATTTAAACACTAACTTCATGACGTTTCATATAATTATAATGAGAATTGAATGACAATGAATTATAATTAGTTTAGTTACAAATTTAAGGATCAGAAGTGTTACCTATCGAGGAAAAAAAAAAGGTTTAGTTACCTATCGAGGAAAAAAAAAAAGGTTTTTAAAAATCAACTACGTACAATAATAGGTGATAAATAGTATAAAAATTAATTACCGGTATGAGTTTCGTATTTTATGTAAAGACTAGTCTCCGTGCTACAAAAACCAATTTCGATGATTTTCAAAAGTTACTTACTTAGAATTCAACTATAAATTAATTACACTTGTATATATCAAATGCTACGAAGACCCCAATAGTCTATACCATGGCTATGATGAAATCTATGGTTATACTTCTCACAATATGCTTTGCATTTTTAATATCACATGGGCTATCGCAAAAGTCACCATTTGTTTCTCCTAGAAATTCGAACTTTGTCGATAATAAGGAGTTCGTACTGGAATGTTGGTCGTCTTTATTTGACCTAGGGTGGTGCTATGGTGATCTTGTAAGGGCTGCAGAAAGCGGCAAAGTTGATGTTGGTATCGCGCCAACTTGTTGCAAAGCTGCCAGAAGCATGGATTCTGGGTGTTGGTCTAACATATTTCCTTACAATCCATTCTTCCCTCAAGTCTTTCAAGCATACTGTTTACGTTTTCCATCAGCACCTCCTCCACCATCAGATGCAGGTTCAAGAACACCAGAGCTTCAGGGACCATCCATGGCATCTCCTCCTACACCGGTGAATACAGATGTGCAACCACCAAAGGCTGAGGGACCATCCATGGGGTCTCCTACACAGGTGAACGCAGAAGTGCCAACACCAAATGCTGATGAACCAACATCCATGGAGTCTCCTACACCGATGAATGCAGATGTTCCAACACCAGACGCAGAGGGACCATCTATGGCGTTTCCTACACCAGTAAATGGAGATGTGCTAACACCAATTGCCGAGGGACCAATCTTTCTTGCACCATTTGCTCTACCACCGTATGCACCATCTCCAATTACTGAGGGACTGTTCATGGATATGCCAAGGGGTGAGGGTCCAGTTTAACAGCCATTGATTCACTTTTAAATTACTTTGAACTTATATGAAACGAGCATGTTATATGAAATGTTGTTGCAAACATAATTACGGGCTTTTCCATATAGCTAATTAAATAAGCTCTTATCTTTATATATATTATATGTAATTCTTTGTTTTTCCATATAATTAAAATTATTGCAAATAAAGCTAGCAAGCATGATTAATAATCATGTAACTATAGATTTAGTTTGTGGTTGATCGGGTAGTCACTGATCAGCAAACTTATACACATGTTTTGCGTCAAATATAAATCTGGAATGTTTCAGTATTGCTTTTAATTAGATCAAATTTTTTTGCCGCCTAACCGGTCTAACTCTGTGAATTCTAACTGATACATAATGAACTTTCATCAAAGGGCTTCTAGCACAGTAGTATCAGCTCTTTGAGGTTGAAAGTTCAAGTTGTGTTGCGGATATTGGTAAAATTAGATTTGTTAGGTTAGAAATAGATTAGATTTGTCAATAAAAAAGAAAAACATAGTGTACCTACACCAGAAAAAATTATCCAAGGACAAAATCTATGGGTAATTAACTAATTATCCACACATTTGCCATTGATTTTCCACCACAAAAAAAACACCATAATTTACAAAGTATTTCTCACGGATTACACAGTGACTGCCCATGAAAAGAAATTTGTGGCAAGTCCGTGGGAAAAATATGGCTGTTACACACGACTTATCCATAGAGTTCGAAAATTGGGAAAATGCTTCGGCATGTGTATAATCCGTGAGTAATTTTGTAACACCCATTGTTAAGGAATGTTCCATTTCAACCCCTTGGTGTGAAATTTATTGCAAATTGGTCCTAAAGCCCCATTGTGGGGGACACGTGATTTCCTTGTATGTTGGGCGCACTCTTAGGTACGTAGAGCTTACGTGGCATAAGTTGTTTGTACAACTTGTATTAGAGTTTGTATCTCAGCATTTAAGGCTAAATGCTTATATATATATATATATATATATATATATATATATATATATATATATATATATATATATATATATATATATAGGGAAAGGTTATTTGGAAAACAAAAAAACTCTAAAAATTATAAAAATGCATAAAAAAATTACCAAGACATCACAAACCTTTTTTTTGAATTTTTTTTATCAAAAAATCGAAGCATTTTTTACAATTTCGCTAAAAAAAAATAAAAAATCAATTTTTTTTTTTTTTTTTTTTTTAAAAAAAAATTTGTTTCAGCGATTTTGACCTAAAAGTTGCGATTTTTTGATAAAAAAATTCAAAAAAAAGTTTTGTGATCTCTAAGTATTTTTTTTTATGCATTTTAATGATTTTTAAGGTTTTTTTTAGGGTTTTTTGTTTTCCATAGAACCTAAACCTATATAGTCCGGATCCGGTAGAAATCCAAAAATTAGTAGGAACCGCTAGGACTATTTTCCACCAATCATTTCGTCAAGGGCACAAATGTCAAACTCATTTACTTGGTCGTGACGCATTCACATGCGGCACACGTGTATGGAACGTATAATACGGACTCGAGAGAATAATCATGTGCGACGAACGTCCATGGAACGTTATTTAAATGAGTTTTTCTTTACTTTTTCATTTATTCTGTTTTTTTCGTTTTTTTCATTTTTTTATGTTTTTCGTTTTTTTTAAAAAGAATTTTTTGTTTTTTTTGTTTTTTTTAATATCTTTACTACACACTTGAAGATAGTAGGGATTTATTATTACTCTTATTTTTTGATTATTTTTTGTTTTTTTTTTTTGATTTTTTTAAACTAAATATCGGTTTCAGTTTTTAATGTTTAACAATTATAAAATTTTAAATGAGAAGAATATTAAGGATGTACTTTCCGTTCATACTTTTTTTTAATCATATTATTTTTGGATCATAAAATTTTGAATCATAGTTTTTTGAATCATAACGATATTATACATCATATAATTTTGGAACATTTTAATTTGGATCATAATATATTGAATTAAATAAAGTTTTTGTTCAATACAACATTTCGATTATTATATTTTTTGAATCATTTAATTTTGAATTATTAAAAAATATAATAATTAAGGATCATTAAATATTTGAATCAAAATATTTTTAGATAATAACAAGTTAAAGATAATAAACATATTGAATCATAATATTTTTTAATCATAAATATTATGAATTATCCCTATTTGCATCATATTATGTTCAACATTTTTTTAAAAAACTTTTAATCTTTTAAAATCAAGTTTGGTATCTAAAACACCTTATTTTTTAAAAACTCTTTTTACAAAGTCATTAGAATAGTGAGTAGAAATATTACTTAAATTTTTATAATTTTTGGAGAATTTTTTTTCTGGGTTTTTTATAAATATAAAAAATAAAAAAAATATTTTATTTTTAAATTTTCATGATTGTGCTCATTTTCTAGAGACTTAAATTTTAAGAACTTTAGTTTTTTCAGATTTTTTTTTCAAAGAAAACAAAAGGTTATGGTCGAAAAACTAACCGGGTGGACAAAAAAACCCACCAGCGGCTGGACACTTGTCATGCTGGGTGGCGACACGTGTCAGCTCCTGGAGTGGCCATATGACTGAATTTTCATTTTTTTTTCCTATTTCGTTTAATCTTTTTGCTTTTGTCACTTGTACCCTCCAAACAATAAACTTCCTCAGAAATTATCAAAATCTCGCAATTAATTACGAAGATGTCATATTATCTCACGAGATTTTGACGATAAATAAAATCAAATCCTGACCATTTATTTTTTTCAATCTAAAACTAGATAGGACTATATTTTGGGACTAAAAAAAATTCAAAAATCAAAACATGAAAATTAATAATACGACTATTTGACTATGAAACAACCAACAATTTATTAATAGACAGGAAATATACTCATCTTTTACCTAATCCATAAAACTAATAAATCAATGTATAACATCCAACTTTGATTATAAGCTTTGCACTTTCATTCTAAATGCCATTAAAACAAAAGCAACAAAGTATACTGTTATTTTTGGTATTTAGCAAAACAAAAGAGACACAAATTAAATCAAATAAAACACATACCTACATAGCCAAATACATACATGCACACACACACACACATTCACATCCATTCCTTTTTTTTGTAAAACTATTAATACAATTACATTCCTATTTAAGAGAAACACATGAATGAATTATAAGGAGAGCAAAAACGAATGGAAAAATACCAATGGTGCACCAATACATGATGGAAAATAAAATATACTGCAACATATGATACAAATAATCAATTAATTTGAGTTTTTGAACTATAAATGAATGGTTATGCTCACAGGCCACCCATTAAACCAACATGTATAGGTGAAAAGAAGCAATTACAATTAAATAACTATAATAAGAAAAAAAAGATTCTGGAAACTATAAACGATAAATGATAGGTATAGCTAGGGGATATGATACCTTATCGGTGTGTGGTCCTATTACATCCATATAAGTTTGGGGTCACCAAAAATGACAAATCCCAAAGATATTATACTGTATTAGTAAAAGGTATAAGTCCTAAATCCTAATGAACTCTTTAAATTAATAGGATAAACGCAATAACAAAACAACATACTTTCATTTGACACATTAATATATATTTCTAGTATCACAAAATCTTATTTATTTATTTTTGTTTCAAAAGATGTCGATAAAAAAACTGAATTTGATTTAATATGATAACATAGAGATGGTAGTGATTTTCTGAATAAGTTATAATAAAATATTGCCAATTTTGATGATGGTTTTGCGAAGCAATAATTGACAAAATCACTACCGCGTTTCAGAAGTATGACTCCAAACCTTATTATGTCGAAAACATCGTAAACATACATCTAATGCTATCTCACTGGAATCAACTCCATCAAAGTAGGCTGAATACTGACCATCTACACAGGTCACGAAATGGTTTAAAAGATTAAAGAAAAAATACAAAACATTTACAAAAAAAAAAAGAAAAAAAAAAAAAGAAAAAAAAAGAAAAATCTCACTGAGACATTCCATCAAAGCATTGGGTACAATCTAACAAACATCAACTCCCACGTCCTTGTAACCATTACAAACTAATGAACTATTCGAGCGTCCCTACACGACATCCATATAGCCTCAAAAATGTAAGAATGTTTTTTAAAGCATGTTCAAAAGCAAAAATGTTTGACAGGAAGTTGTAGTTCAAGGTTGTAAAGTTTGAAAAGCCAAGTTGATGCATAGAAGAAAAGGAATAGCATGTGCAAACCTGAAAAATATATCCTTGGAATTCTCAACGGTTTGACTGTCTTGAAAGTGAAATTTATCTATAAAATTTTAGGTACATGATGGTTACTAAGATCAATCAAAAAAATTTATTGGCAATTATCTCATTGATACAAAGGAAGAACAAAGACGAAGATTGAACAAAAAAAATCAAACTGAATAGATACTAAGCTTCAAATCAAGTTGAAAGAAAACCTTTGATCTAAATTTCAATATCATGATTTAAGTTCTTTATTATAGAGCCTTATTGTAATAAATTATACAGTGCACTCCATGTGTACCCTCATAAATGAAAGACAAACAATAACGACTCAGATAAGAATCTATAGTGTTCACAACATCCAATTGATTAAATACAGAGACAAAAGATCAAATCAAATAGAAAAATATAAAAAATAATAAACAATTTTTAGAAACTTGTGTGGGAATTAGATCGAACACAAAAAAAAATGGAAAACATACCAGATCAACACCGATGTCTCAGAAACCGAAAAAAAAAAAGAAAAATGAATTGGCAATTGAATAATATTGAAATGTAACATAGTTGTTAATAAACCTCACGAAAGGAAAACTACTTAAACCATATCAATTGTCCGACTGAGAAGACAAGGAATGAGACAGGAAGGTGTATTGTAATCCACTAAAATCAGCAATTGAGCCCTACATGTAGATTCAACTTTGGATACAATTTCGTTGTTGATTTCTTGAGAAGTAGAGGGAAATCAATTTAGGTATATCTCTGATTTTATGCATACTGTAAAATCGGAAACCGCTTAACATAGATGAACGGGCAATAAGTAAAAAGTAGAAGAAGAAGAAGGACAATTATTCACTTACAAAAAAAGAACGCGAAAGATGTTGGATGGGGCACAAAAGAAGCCATTTGCAAAAATGTACTCTTATTATCATACAGATTGTTACCGAAGTAAGTAAACTATATAGATATTGTCAACCCTCTAAATAACGTAAAACCCGACTTTCGGCAATGTCAAGCCTCAAGCAGTGGCGGAGGATCAAAGTAAAGGAGTATCTCAATTTTTTTAGGGTAACCCAATTTTTTTCCGGGGTACTTGGGTTTCCCCGGTTCGGTTTCGGTTTTAAACCCAAATCTTAATCGAATTCTTAACTAACCTCAACTTTTGTTATATAAACATGAAGTTGAAGTATATTTTGATACTTGAATCGATGTGAGACTCAAAGTAGATATCAAATAAAGCATGAGCATAACAGGTTTATATAATAGAAAAAAATGGCTGAGTTTACATGTGTTTAGCGATGTGGGATAGAATAGCTGGGAAAATAAAACAAAAGTAAACAAAGGATATGTAAGAAGCGAGAATCGATCTTGAGACCTTTGCTTCAAGAAGCCAACACCTTAACCAGCAGACCAACTATTTGTTTGTGTTTATAAGTGGAGGGATTCCTATATATACACTATACCGAATTTTGTTTTTCTGAGGGATACGTAAACAAAAATTACACTACCGAAATTTTTTTGAGGGGTATCCCGGGCTACCCCGGGATCCCCTTGGATCCGCCCCTGGCCTCAAGCCTTTTCGAGTCGTAGCGAGTCACGTCGTTTGTAAATTGTGACTTAAGGTGACAATTTTGTATATATAATTAATAATTATATATATATATATATATATATATATATATACTACTATTATTCATTTTTATATACACATGTGACTTAAGGCGACATTTTGTCAAAGCTTAGCGGCAAGTACAAGCGTTGGAGCCATGACACTCCATGACGGAGCCATAGTGAGCTTTTTAGAACATTGAATATTCTTATACAATTTAATTAATATTACTATTTAGTCATGAGAGGAAGGTAAACAATCTTTTATGGGTTATTTTGATTGTTTTATGAAAGAAAGTATGTTAACATGCTAAATATGTATTACAGAAAACTAGCATGCTATTCAATATATATATATATATATATATATATATATATATATAGAGAGAGAGAGAGAGAGAGAGAGAGCTAGGTTCAAATGTTTCTAGCAACTATTGTGTGTATGTATGCACCAATCAGAAATTAGCAAATAATTAAATAATTAATTAAATCAAAAAGGGTATTTATGGTTTTTTGCATTTTTAATTAATGGGATCATTAAATAAAATCCATGCAATTAAGGAAACAAAATAAATAGGTTTGACCTAATCTATCTCTCTTTTATCTCACGTTAGTTCTTCTTCTTCACCTACAAAAGAAAAGGAAATCAAGGAAGTCGGCCATAACTTCACTCATCCCAGCAACCCGTCTCGTCACCGGTCCTCCATCCTTCTTTCACTTTCGTTCCTGTTATAGTGCAATTGCGAACACAACTGATCGTGAAATAAAGTCCAACACTTCCTTGAACACTTTTCTAGATGGCTTTCTTAATGTCAAATCTTCGATTTTAGAGGTTTTTTTCTTAGCTGGTCGCAATCAAGTTCACAATCTGAAGTTTAGATTCATCAGGTTCGTTATTTTCTCCTTCTTTGACTTCATATATTTCTATTTTATCCTTCTTTGACTTCATATATTTATGTAATCCAAGTAAATCTCGTTTTTTCTGATATGTTTGATATGATTCTATCATGGACTCCATGTGTTCGATAAATTGCCTCAATGAAAAAATAGTTAATAATATTTAATTTTTTAATTTCTCTCCGACAAGAAATCTGATGCCTTTTGCTCCAACCAGAACTTCGAAAAATTAACAGTGTAATTTTTATGTACAGAGCAATGGTCTCGATTTGGTAATTACCACAAAATTTTGATTATGAGCGTATCTGACAGCAGTTCTATCGGAATGGAAGATCAAGATTTAATTCTGTCAGAATGGAAGATCAAGATTTAATTCTGTCAGAATGGAATCTCGATTTTATGGCATGGAATCTCAAATTACTTGTTAGTATTTGAAGGTATACACTCTTTTTTTGTAAATTTAGTCACATTTATGTATTTATTAATTACATATGCTGTATGTTTCATTAAATGGTGTATAAAAATATGAGCATCTGATTTTGCCCGCCAAATGTTTGTTAAAATGTTTGAATAAGATATTTCAGCTAATTTTTTGGTAATTTTTGAACTATCATATCTCTCTCATACTAGCTTGGAATGATCTGAAATTTTTTTCTGCATATTCTGCTTTGTGTTAGCTACAAGTTAGGTTCCAAAGTCATTTTAATTGGATTAATATTGGCTTAGTTGTAGTCCTTCGAACATGGGATGTTACAACTGTATTCTATGTATTCTATCAGAATGTATTCTACCATAATAAAATCGATGTATTCTGCCAGAATGTATTATATGTATTCTGTCATATTCTATGTATTCTACCAGAATATATTAAGTGATAGTTAATTGCAAGTAACATGTTTTTAACAATTATTAGTTTTTGTTGTATTTGTGATAGGAATGGCTGGAAGAAGGCGTTGAAGACCTAATAGTAATAACTTAAAGAATGAATAAAGTCTGATCATACTCATAATTTAAGAATGTTGTTATTTTTTAAGAATTTTAATCACCTTTGTTGATATTCTTTTAGAATATGTATAATTATATTAAAATGTATAAGGATTTTAGTCTGTAAAAATATGTATGGATTTTTATTTAAGTTCGGATGTATAAGAATATATTAGAATGTTTGTTATTTTTCAACATCTGATTCAATAATTTTGTTTTTTTCAATAATATTCTATTAGAATAAAATTCTGAAAGAGCATCATTCTAACAAAAAATATTCTGACAGAATAAAATCGGTTATGTTTACAAATTACGTTAGAATTAAAATTGAATTAATTAAAAAATTCAGATTTTTTTAAATTAGGAGAATTAATCATCCCTAAAAATCTGAAAATTTCCTTTTATAAATGTAGTTCATTGTCCAAAATACCATTTTGCTACAAATTGTGTGATTATATGGTACATGTTATCCCATTATAATATCATACACTCTCAAATCATGTCCATTGATTAATTTCATCCGTTGGTCCAGATCTGTGCATTCTGACACACAATACTTAGTAAAAACAAAATAACCTAAGCCTATATATATATATATATATATATATATATATATATATATATATATATATATATATATATATATATTGTGTTTAATATTGACTTAATTGAGTAATTAAGTTGTTGGTTTTATGATCATCATAAATTGTTATTAGGTTAATTGTTACATGTGTACACTATAAATAGAGTGATCTTGTACATGGTAAATGATACAAAAATACTCTCTACTCTTCTCTTTTCTATGGCTGCGTTGTCTAGCACGCATATAGGTAATATCCAGATCTTGTTGAGTTCGACGATCTTGAAGAATCGTTCTTGCTGTTTGTTGTATCCTGGTAAACAAACACCCGGAGTGGGTCGAATTTGTTTTAAGAAAACCGTGTCAAACACATACATCAACCTCCATTAATTACTGTTTGGTTTTCGTTTATCGTGGTTATAGTTTCCTGCAAAGATTTCTTTGGGGTGGGAATATGGACTAAAGAAATATTTGTTGGGTTGCACGTCTTTCTTATATAGATGCTTGTTGTAATCACATCATCTCCCAACAAGGGTAACAAAGTGAAGCTTCTTAGAGCCTTATGTTACACGTTGATATGAGTGATATTGAATGAGAGGAACTCAAGGCTTTTCAAAATGAAGTTTAATTCCCCATTAAAGATAGAATACGACTTTCAATTGCTTTGATAAAATTGGATAAAATATCAGACCAAAAGGAGTAGTATAAATTGGTTAGATTGTTGTATTAATCTTGTTTATTCTTTTGCCATGTAATTGCTTATCATCACTTTCTTCCTAGTTTTGTTTTTATTACAATTGTCTTTTCTTCAATAAAATAAAATTAACAACATAGGAAATTGGGTTGAATGTTTCTAAAGATTTTAAAGTTAGATGAAAATAAATTGTATCATAAAATCAAATGTTATTGTCATCTCCGATCGAGAGTTTAAGTCTTGTATGTGAGGTGGAATCAGGAAAGGTTTAAAAATTAATTGGTTGTTAAAAAAACTGAAAGCAAATAGTATCTTAAAATCAGTGCCATAGGATTCAAATGTAGGTAGCCCATCAAAAACCAACCAGAAAACACTACGGCTATTGTCGCACATAATTAGCCAAGAAACCACGATACATTCCAAACGTTGGTACTAATAAATCACCATAACAAGGATACTAAACGTATAAAAATGCTTCATATCAACATTTCACACACGGGAATCCAAATACATGATTGTGGTTAGGTTCATTGGTCTCATGTAGTCGTCTGTGCCATTCACTATTTTTTCAACGATCAATCTGCATGCTCGTTCTGACGGATGGAACGCATCCCAAAACACAAACTCGTCTCTGTTTTCGCACAAGTTTGAATACGCATTGCAAAAATCTAACCCATTGTATGGTCCTTGTCCACAGCAAGCCGTTTTTGAAGTTACAAATCCTGCATGCATAATAATTTGAAACGGTAAAATCCTACTTAATCATTACAAATGGTTTTTCACGAAAATGGTTCTTACCATAGGCCTGAGGATCGTTCATTATATCAAAGTGCATCAGTCTTGTGTTGGCTGAAATAAACACTTCAGTGCCCAATTCAGCATTAAGGTTCTTAACCATTTGGTCTACTTGTGGTTCAAACAACTCTGCTGCAGCTTGAAGATCGGTTGAACATTCACCACTGAGCTCATTATGTTGCGCAATCTCCGCTGGTGCACAGCCTAGTGGTCCAGAACCTAACAGTATTGCCCTCCTAACTCCCATTTCGTACATTTTCTGTGATAGTTAACAACATTAGTTTTTTTCCAACATCGTCATCCTAATGAATTCTTGACAACAGCTTACCATCAAAATCTTGCGATACTCTGACACTAGGTAGATGACATACTCTGGAAGAGTATATTGTAGAGACCTAGCAGAAAACGGGACCAAGTAATAGTTGTTCACGAAATCATTACCCCCCAACGAAACAAGAACTAACGCTCGGTTTACTATATCCTTTGCTTTTTCTTCTCCTACTAAAGAACTCAGTTTTTGTTGGTAAACCTTAAAGTACTCTAATTGTAAGGGCACTGAAATTATCTCTCCCTGTGATGATTGCACAAGCCTTGATTAAATTTTGTTTACACACAGACACATATATATTGTTAATTATACGTTTGGTCAAACTTACAAACTGGAATCCTGTATCGTTGAGTATTCCTACTCTGCACCCAAAGGAAGCTTTTCTTCATGCAATTCTAGACCCAAAAACGGAAGTACAGGCTCAGATCCGATATGCTCACCTGTTTATAACGCATAATATTTAATTATCTCATCCAGTAATCTATCTTTAACTTGAAAAACACATGCGTATGCACAGAATCAAAGCAATAGAATCAGGGATTTTAAACATCGAACAAAAGTAAAGAAGTAAGACATCCGTAAAAGATGCAAAGAAACATGGCATATATATAAAAGAAGCAAGGAAAAACTAAACTGATAATGTCAGGGATGTTAAGGCCATTGGAGAAGCGGCCGGTTGGAAGCTTTGAGGGAGAGTCGATGCCGTAAGGGAAGATGTCTGCACGTGCGGGAGTTATCAAGAAGTTGTTGTTGCCGTTATCAACCAGAGAGTCGCCGAACACGAAAAATGGCCGTGGTTGGTTTACTTCAGGAGCACCATAAACCCCTTTTATTACCAAAAACAGCCTGAAAACGAACAATAGATCAATACACAATATAGAGAGGATAAAATGAGAGTCCGCCAAATAAAATGATTTTTAGAATGAGAGTCCGCCAAATAAAATGATTTTTAGAATGAGAGTCCGCCTGACAAAATGAGAGTCCGCCAAATAAAATGATTTTTAGAATGTCAAGTATTGATATGGTAAATCTCCTGATTATAACCGTAACATATGGTGTAGTCATTGGCGGATCCAAGAGTCCCGGACTATTCTCATTACAACTTAATTAGTGTGAAAAATATATAAAAAAAAATATATGTTTTTATATTAAGATGCAACAACTAATATAAATAAAGATGTTTTGAGATTTATTAGGCTCTGAAAATCTAATGTTTCAAGTTGGAAACATGACACATACGATCTTCTTTATTTAGTTTTTAAAAATCAAGAACAATTTTTAAAAAAATATATATGAAGACCTTTAAAATCAACAACACCCAGGGTTATCCTGTTTGATTCAAACATAAACAAGGATTTTATTTATCTGTATGACTTAATGTTAGAAAGATATCATAACCACTGCTAGAAAAGAAGGGGTTTTGCTACAGGAAAATAACTACGGAAAATTTTCGTAGGTAATTAGCTACATAATACCAACGGAATTCCTACGGAATAAGAAGCCCTAAATTAGTAACGGAATAGCTACAGAATAACGACGGACGCACATCCGTAGGTATTCCGTTGGTAATTAGCTAAAGAATAGATACGGAATAGCGATGAAAGTAAGCCCGTAGGTATTCCATAGGTAATTAGCTACAGAATAGCTACGGACTACCTACAGAAGAAAATAGATACAAAATAACTACAAAATACCAACCACTTTATAATAATAATATTATTATTATTATTATTATTATTATTATTATTATTATTCCCATTATTATTATTTTTCAATATTCAAGTCTTATTTTTTTTTTTGAATCGTTTTGTTTTAAATATTTAAAATACAAACAATTAAAAATCATACTAATAGTACTATTAATAATAATATTTATAAACATAATTATAATATATAATAATCGTAACCAATGTGCTTAACACACAAACAAATGAACAAACGAAAAAAAACAACGTTTAACACATCAATAAGGTGAAATAATATATACATTTAATGTATGAATAATAGACAATGATGATAATCACACATCAATAAGGTGAAATAATATATACATTTAATGTATGAATAATAGAAAATGATGATAATCAGGGGAACTATGTATATTTGTATAAGTAAGTGTATGTATGTATTTATGTGAGTATATGTACATATATTTATGTGTGTGTATGCATGTGTATGTGTGTATATGTGTGCTTATGTATATGTACGTGTGTGTATATATGTATGTGTATGTATGTATTTGAGTATGTATATGTATGTGTGTATGTGTATCTATGCATATAAATGGTTTTATGTACATTTATATGATGTATAACTTTGTGAAAACAAAACAATGAAAGTATAAGGATGTTGTGAAAAAAAATGAAACGAATAAAACAACATTTGACCCTTGAAAAATAGAAAATAAAAAAAAACGGTAGGTAATCCGTAGGTAAATACCTACGGATTACCTACAGATAACCTTTATCTATAGGTAATCCGTAGGTATTTACCTACGGTTTTTTTCTATTTTCTAAATTTTAAGGGCAAATATTGTTTTTTCAGTTTCATTTTTTTTTCACAACATCATTATACTTTAAATGCTTTGGTTTCACCAACTTATACATAACATAAACTTACATACAAAAGTATGCATCGCTAGACCCCATTACTCATTTACAACTTTATTATTCTTTTTTTATATAATATAAATGAAAGTTATTTTCTATACACAAATACAAATAAATACACACATTTACATACATACCATATGTATGTATTATGTTCAGTATATCACGTATTTGTTTAACGAGGTTAATTGTGGCTCAAGAACAAAGATAAATAGCTTTTTGTATCATATATAGTAATGGGTTCTAATGATGCACATTCTTGTACATACATTTATATGATATATAATTTTGTGAAAACAAAGCAATCAAAGTATAATGATGTTGTGAAAAAAAAATGAAACTAAAAAAACAACATTTGACCCTTAAAAAATAAAAAATAAAAAAAACCATAGTTAATCCGTAGGTAAATACCTACGGATAACCTTTATCTGTAGGTAATCTGTAGGTATTTACCTACGGATTACCTACGGTTTTTTTTCATTTTCTAATTTTTAAGGGCAAATATTGTTTTTTCAGTTTCATTTTTTTTTCACAACATCATTATACTTTAAATGTTTTGGTTTCACCAACTTATACATAACATAAACTTACATACAAAAGTATGCATCGCTAGACCCCATTACTCATTTACAACTTTATTATTCTTTTTTTATATAATATAAATGAAAGTTATTTTCTATACACAAATACAAATAAGTACATACATTTACATACAAACCATATGTATGTATTATGTTCAGTATATCACGTATTTGTTTAACGAGGTTAATTATGGCTCAAGAACAAAGATAAATAGCTTTTTGTATCATATATAGTAATGGGTTCTAATGATGCACATTCTTGTACATACGTTTATATGATGTATAACTTTGTGAAAACAAAACAATCAAAGTATAATGATGTTGTGAAAAAAATGAAACTAAAAAAACAACATTTGACCCTTGAAAAATAGAAAAAAAAAACCGTAGGTAAATACCTACGGATTACCTACGGATAACCTTTATCTGTAGGTAATCCGTAGGTATTTCGTTTTTTTTCTAATATTTAAGGGCAAATATTGTTTTTTCAGTTTCATTTTTTTTCACAACATCATTACACTTTAAATGCTTTGGTTTCACCAACTTATACATAACATAAACTTACATACAAAAGTATGCATTATTAGACCCCATTACTCATTTACGACTTTATTATTATTTTTTATATAATATAATTGAAAGTTATTTTCTATACACAAATACAAATAAGTACACACATTTACATACAAACCATATGTATGTATTATGTTCAGTATATCACGTATTTGTTTAACGAGGTTAATTGAGGCTCAAGAACAAAGATAAATAGCTTTTTGTATCATATATAGTAATGGGTTCTAATGATGCACATTCTTGTACATACGTTTATATGATGTATAATTTTGTGAAAACAAAGCAATCAAAGTATAATGATGTTGTGAAAAAAAATGAAACTAAAAAAACAACATTTGACCCTTGAAAAATAGAAAATAAAAAAAACCTCAGGTAATCCGTAGGTAAATACCTACGTATTACCTACGGATAACCTTTATCTGTAGGTAATCCGTAGGTATTTACCTACAGATTACCTACGGTAGTTTTTGTATTTTCTATTTTTAGAGGGTTAAATTTCGTTTTCTTTCGTTTTATTTTTTCACAATATCATTATACTTTAATTACATGGTTTAGACTAAGTTATACATAATATAAACACACGTACAACCGTGTTCACCATTAGAACCGATTACTCATTCAAAGTTTTATCCTTATTATTTGTATAAATGCATGTTATTTTCAGTACAATAGAATATACAGACACACATACATACAAACCCATATATATGTATTATACTTAGTATATCATGTATATGTTAATGATGGTTAATTGTGGTTCAAGAACAGACATATATAGTTTTTGTATTATGTATTATGTATAATAATGGGTTCTAATGGTGTGCACGGTTGTATGTACATTTATATTATGTATAACTCTCTGAAAACCAAGTAATTAAAATATAATGATGTTGTGAAAGAAATAAAACGAAAAAAACGAAATTTTACTCTTGAAAAATAGAAAATACAAAAAACTATCGTAGGTAATCGATAGGTAAATACATACGGATTATCTACATGAAAAAGTATATTATTTTAATGGTTAAAATTGGTTTTTAGTATATTATTAAAATTTAAAATTTTTATTTTAAAAACATGGAAAATGTTAAATAATAAGATAATAATAATTTATTTATAAAACTTAGTACTTATATTTTCAATTAACTTAATATTTTGATTACCTACGACTTTCCTACTGTTTGGGTTACCTACCCATTTCCTACGGGCCAAAATTCATAAAACCCATTGCAATGGGATTTCATTAGGTCAAAAATTTCTAATCACCCGCCTGATCTAATTTCCCTTCCAAATGGTAGACGAAATCGGCCATGCCGGATCTGTTCTCGCTGCCGGAGTCGACCGCCGCCAACGACATCGTCCTACTCCCGTTACTCTTCTCCTCCATCTCGCCTACTCTCAATTTCTCTAATCTCCCTGCACCCTATTTGCATTCCACTGTGCTTTCCGGAATCGATCAACGCCATCCCCACTGCTTTCGACTCCTCCTTACTATATCTCATGTCACCCCTCTGCCTTCTCCTACTCTCTCATCGTACATCGCCATCATCGATTCAGCATCCACCACCGGTCTATTTCAACGCCACCGCTCCACCAAAGCTAAACCTCGTTGGAAACCCTGACCGGTTCACCTCGTCACCGCCACCATTGATTTAGGAAGACGAAGCTCGCCGGAAACCCTCACCATCGTTGTCAGCCTTGCGGATTACACGGTCATCCACCATCATCGTCCAGGATCCGTATCCGATCACCCACCGCTGTCAGCCACCATTGTAAACCTACCATTGTCAGTCAGCCACCATCCTCAACTTTGCTATTCTAAGGTAAATTAATAGAAGATAGCCTAAGTTAGTTTGAACCATTAAGAAAGTTTGAAATTATAGATATGCATTCAAATCCAATCTAATGACCTTGATAGTCAAACCCCTAACTTCTGTTATAATTTTCAAATGGATTTGGTTTATATGTGTGTTTATAACTTCTGTTGTAATCTATTTCTATTTGTGCCTTGTAAGCTTTGAAGTGCAACAAGGTTGAATAGATTAGTTTTAACAATTATTAGAAACATGCTTCATTTGGAATTACATGTATTTTGATCATAATCATTTTAAATAGATTATTTTTACTTATTTATATTAAATAATTATTTCATATTTCGTATTTAATTAGAGGATTTTTTTTTCAATCTTCTTAGGACCAATATTAAATAATTAGCTAACAAACTTGGCTTTTCATGTTAAAGAAGCTTACTAATGCTATATGCAGGCAAGCAAAATGCTTTTGGAAGTTGGAACTTGGAAGATGTAGTAAGCTTGCTGAAGTTTAAGACTCGGTGTTTGGAAATTGTACGTAGTTCATGGGGACACATTCTTGCTTGTTGTTGGCTTGTTGCTTTCAGGTAGTATACAGTTAACGACTTTTACGTAAATAATGATCCAATTTTATTAATAAAGTATTTTTGGATTTTAAAATCAAAGTACATTGCTATTATGGATAGTATGTTCTTAAAATGAATTAAAGTAAAGTACATTGCTATCATGTTTTAAAGTTGAATTACATTTACTAACTCGATGTGTTTGTCATGCCGTTTTTAGGTAAATGAGTTGCGACAACAAGTATTAAACATGCAACAAGCCATGGATCAAAGGTAAAGTCAAATGTATTTGCAAATGGAACAAATGTGAAATGAAATGGAATTGCAAATGCAACGACAATTGGCCTCCCTTTATGAGACAACTCAATGCGTCCGGTAGTCCACTAAGTAGTTCTTAGTTTTTGTTTTAAAACACTTAATGAATGTTATGTTATTGACTAGTTCTTAGTTTTTGTCATGGCATTGTAATGGTATTTTGAGTATTTGAATGTATGAATGTTATGTTATTGACTATTTTAATGTTAATGAATGTAATAGTATTTTGACTATTTTATAATTATTTTTTTGGTTATTTTTGTGTTATTTTTGAGCAGAAAATTTGGATATTTTTTAAATTATAAATTTAATATAGCAACAAATTTGTGACATAATTGTATTCAATAACAGCTGTCAAAAAATAATATTTTGTAGGTATTCTATAGGAAATAGAGTTCAATACAGTCCGTAGGTATTTTGTAGGAAAAAGGAGGTGGTAGGTATTTTGTAGGAAAATAATCCGTAGGTACTCTGTAGTAAATAAATTTTGTAGGCATTCTGTTGGAAAATACTCCGTAGGTATTCCGTAGTAAATAAAGTTTGTAGGTATTCTGTAGTAAAATAAACCCGTATGTAATCTGTAGGTAATCCGTAGTAAAAGAGTTTCGTAGGTATTTTGTAGGTAAATTTCCTACAGAAAATTCCGTAGGAAAGGCGTAGGAAAGTTTGTAGGTGATTCGTAGGAAAAAATTACCCACGAGGGTTTTTCCTACAACCCATTTTTTGTAGGAATTCTGTAGGTAACACCTTGTTCCTACAAATCTCCTACAAATACTGCCGTAGGTAATTACCTAGTTTTCTAGTAGTGAACTAAACCTAAAGATATACAGTAGTTGTTACCCAAAACCAATTACCATCTCTCTGTTTCAAACACCTATATCCATTAGTTTGAAGCTCTATTTTTAGGGTACTAGATTCAATCCATAAACGAATGGTCACCGCCCACCACTCGTTTACCACCAGTATCTTATTCTATCCACCATTATTTTTTTCCAAGATCAAAAGAAGCTAATCACACTTAGATCAGGAACTAAATCGAGAAAAAATTGAACAAGTCTAATATCCATCTAACATGACCCAAACATAATCGATAAAAATCAAAACAAATTTATACAAATTGAAATGCAATAATCAATGAACCTAATCAACTCATCGTATTATTCTTCACTCTTAATCATGTTTTCTTATTTTTTGACATTTCCCAAGACATTTCATAAAAGCAACCCGTCATTCCTTCAACACACAAACTCAACACCAAAGATGGAAAATTTCTTAGATTCTTAGTTCATCTTCAAAGACGATTTGAAGGTTGAATACAAAGATAGAACTAGTGATGGTGGTGAGGTCGTGTTTTTGGTTCGATAGTTGGTTGGTGGCATGTGTTAGGGTTATAGATGTTGTGTATAGATCTTGAATTTGGGGTTACAAATGTTGTGTGTAAATGTAAGGTGGGTTGAATTTGGGAGATACAATGAAGACATCACAATGGAACTTAGGCGTTAGAGTTATAGGTGTTATGTATATACCTTCTCACTTATTTGGTGAAACATCCCAAAACTATGACCCAAAATTTTCAATTTTTAAATTTGAATAAAACAATATTCCAAAAGCATTATTCATACAACCCAAAAATGAGTATATCAAACATCATAAAAATCAGAGTGTGTCCCACCAACAGAATCCATATAGTGTGTGCGATGCAGTCAACCCGAGCTCTTCCCCTTGGAAGCGGAAGTACCTGAAACATAAACTAAAAACCATAAGCACAAAGCTTAGTGAGTTCGCTAAAATACCACATACCATACATACAAATAAACACATAGTGGGCCAGGCCCGACATCAGACCTCGCCCGACATCGAGTCGCGCTCGGTAAATAGATCGGGCCCCGCCCAGCATACATATAGCATATAATCAAGTGAACACATACACATGCAATAATCACAAAGATACATAGCATACAAAGTGGTCATCGAGGCCCCGCCCGGCATCGGGCCCCGGGCATATAAGCACATAACACATGCAAGAGTCATGCAGACAGCTAGCATACTAACATAGCATAAACATGGGCCGTCATTGGTGCCTTCGACCCGCTAAACCCAGTGAGGAAACTCACCTCACAATGCTGAATGAATCGAAAAATCCCTGGTTGCTGGCCCTACAACTCCCTGAGCTATCAGTTGACAAATAAAAACCAATAAACATTTGGGATTTAAATCACAACCAAAAATCCCTACTTGGGGTAAGAAGACCATTTTACCCCTAACCTAGCTTGGTACAAGACTGAAGCCCAATATCACAATCTAATAGGCCCAAAAGTCCAATAATCCATCAAGGCCCAAATTATGGCCCAATTTCCAATTGGGCCCAATCCTTTCTCATGGGCCTTAACCCAAAGCCCAAAAATGTTCTTTGCCCAAAACTCCCAAAATCAGATGGCCCAACTAAACCCTAACCTTCTAAGCCCAAAACATGGCCCAAACAGAAAGCCCAACAATGAAATGCTACCTAACTGAGTACGCGGGGCGTACTCAGCTTGTACTTTAAGCGTACTAGCTCGAAGGCTTGTACGCTGTGCCTATAGGCTTGTACGCCCAGCGTACTCTTCCAGATCAGCCATCTACTAGATTTAGCTCTTAACCCATTAAGACTTCGCTCCAGAATGCAGATCTGACCTCCTTGAGTTGGATTATCATGTAAAGTTGCTAACTTTACGTCCATGCATGGCTATATGAAGCTCTAAAGCTCAATAAGGACTTAATAAGAGACTTAATGAATGCATGAGGCCCTAAAATCCATAAAGTTGGCACCTTTATGCCTAAGGAGCCCATGATAACCCTAGATCTGAAAGGATAAGTCCTATGGACGTCTTAACTTAACATTCCACCCAAAAATGGCCAAAAACATGATAAATCATCCCAAAAAGAGATCTAAACAACTAGAAGTCAAGATGGGAACTTGATACCTCAAAAGCTTTGCACAAAGGGTGGTGATTCTGGATCCAAGACCTTCTCTCCAAGCTTAGTAACTTCAAGATCTTCTAACTCCTTCAAAATGCACAAAATGAACACCAAACTCTCTTCAAAGGCTCAAATGCTTAACAATGGAGGCTAGAACTCGATTTAGGGTTTTGGAGGCTTTAGAGGCTGGTAATGAGGCCAACCTTAGAGAATAAGGTGGATTATATAGGGTGCAAGACCCTCAATTAGGGTTTCATTAAAGTCCACGTACGCCCAGTGTACGTATACGTATGCCCAACTATGTAACCTGGGTCGCGACTCGCCAATAACTCAGTACGCTAAGCATACCAAGTGGTACACCTTGTATACTACTTCAGGGACCAAAATGCATAATTTCAAGATAGAAGGGTCATAAGGTACATACCAGGGCACAAGTGTTACAATTCTCCCCCACTTGAATCAGACTTCGTCCTTGAAGTACGCCACTCCAAATAACTTAGAGTAATGCTCATGCATCTCATCTTCGGGCTCCCTAGTCCACTCTGAACCCTTGCGGTGCTGCCACTGCACCTTCACAAACTCAACTACCTTGTTCCTCAAGGTTTTCGTTTTTCGATCCAGAATTGCCACTGGTCTCTCAATATAATTCAAGCGGTCATCCACCTGAATGTCCTCCAAAGGCATCACTGCGGAATCATCTAACAGACACTTCTGAAGCTGAGAGACATGAAACGTGTTATGAATCTGACTGAGTTCGGCTGGAAGATCTAAACGATACGCAACCCAGCCTACCCGGGCCAAAAACCTGAAGGGACTAATATACCGGGGGCCCACCTTTCCCCACTTTCTAAATCGGATGACACCTTTCCAAGGTGACACCTTCAGGAGAACCATATCTCCCACCTGGAACTCCAAGTCTGACCGACGTCTATCAACATAACTCTTTTGCTGACTCTAATCTGTCTGGAGCCTGCTCCGAACCTGCTGAATCAGCTTAGTGGTCTTGAGCACCACCTCGGTACTCCCCATAACCCGTTGATCGACCTCGCCCTAACAAATTGGGGTCTTGCATTTCCTCCCGTAGAGCATCTCAAAAGGAGGTCGATCAATACTGCCATGATAATTGTTGTTATATGAAAATTCCACTAACGGAAGATGCGTATCCCAACTCCCATCAAAATCCAACATGCACACACGTAGCATATCCTCAAGGGTCTGGATAGTCCGCTCACTCTGACCATTGGCCTGCAGATGAAATGTTGTACTAAAATGGAGATGAGTGTCCAACTCTTCATGAAACCGCTTCCAAAATCTGGAAGTAAAACGAACATCCCTGTCAGAAACCACCGATACCGGCACCCCATGACGTGCCACCACCTCCCTGATATAAACCTCGTCCAACTTCTCTGCAGAAATACTCTCCTGAATCAGAATGAAATGCACGCTCTTGGTCAGTTGATCCATGATGACCCATATCGAATCCACTCCGCGCATAGTCCTGGGAAACTTTGTGATAAAATCCATGGTAATGTCTTCCCATTTCCATACGGGAATCTCCAACGGCTGCATCCTGCCGTGAGGTCGTTGATGCTCGTCCTTGACCTTCTTGCAGGTCAAGCACCGCTCCATGAACCATGCTACATCCCGCTTCATGCAGGGCCACTAATAATCAGGACAAAGATCCCTATACATCATCGTCACCCCGGGATGGATGGAGAACCTCGACATGTGAGCCTCCTCCGTCAGAATCTGGCACACACCGCCCAGTAGGGAACCCAGAATCGCCGATGAAGAGTAAAAAACCCACGACTATCATAATCGAAGGAAGCCACCTGACCCACAATACGCTCACTTTTCCGGTGCTCTTCCTTCATAGCCTCAATCTGTGCCTCCCGAATCCACTCGAATAGTGGAGTAATAACAATCATCGTCAAACATAAACCCCTAGTCGGATCTGCAACTGCCTTGCGGCTAAGAGCATCGGCCACCACATTGGCCTTCCCCGGGTGATAAAGGATCTCGCAATCACAATCCTATTGGGTAAGGTGTCTAAGTCCATAACATTATTTGGTATATACTTAACCCGACCCGACATGGTCCATTTGGGTTGCACTTCACCCGAACAATTTGTATGGATAATCTTTTGAGAATAGTATGTTTATGATTTATTAATATATTATAAGGTATAATATATTAATATGAAATCATATTATTTAATTAGTATTGATCTTAAATTAA